AAAAAAAAAAATAGTAGAAAGAAACATTCTTTAACTATAATAGCATAACTAGTAAGCCACTGCTGTAAGGGGCCAGGAGTCAAGGAAAGTGAGCATCTTTAGAAGGTGGCAAGAACAAGGAAATAAATTATCCCATTGAACTTCCAGAAAGAAGTAACAGTCTTGCTGATACCCAGTGAAACAGGCTTCAAACTTCTGAGCTCCAGAACTTAAGACAATAAATTTGTGTTGTTTAAACCACTGTTTGTGGTAATTTGCTAAATTAGCAATAGAAAAACAATACACCGGATCATAAAAGAAACCTTTACAAAAAATTTTAAATCATACAAAAGGCTGTTATCTGTAACAAAATTAGACTAGATGCCAATAACAGAAAGATAACAAGACACTCTCCAAAGAGAAGGAAATTTCAAAACACGCTTGTAAGTAATCTATGGGTCAGAGGGGAAACAGAAAATATTTTGAACTGAACAAAAATAAAACAACATATCAAAATTTGTGGGATACAACTAAAGCATTACTTAGAGGATGTTATAGCATTAAATACTTACATTAGAAAAAAGAGTCTAAAATTAATAATCTAAGCTTTCATCTTAAGAGACTAGAAAAAGAAGAGCAAACTAAAAAGTAGAAGGAAGGAAATAATAAAGAACAGGAATCAATGAAATTGAAAAGAACAAATAAATACAGAAAATCAATTAAAACCTAACCTGGCTCTTGGAAAAGTTTAATAACAGCAAGACTGACAAAGACAAAAAGGGAGAAGACATAAATTCTCAATATCAATACAAATAGGGAGATTTCACAATAGATCATACAAATATTTAAATAACAAGGAAATACTGTGAGCAACTCTATGCACATACGCTCAAGAACTCCCTGAAATGACAAACTACAAACATTCACATACAATAATATGGATAAGCTGCACAGAAGTATCAGATAAATTGAATTTGTAGTTAAAAACTTCCAAAAAAAAAGGAATTCTTCAGGCCCAAATGTCTTCACTAATGAAAACTACCAAACATTTAAAAAAGAGATAACTCCAGACTGATAAGACTGGCAAGTAAGAAATAAAACTGTCCTTATTTGCAAATGACATTACTGTCTACACAGAAAATTCCAAGGAATACAAACAAACAAACCCCTCCTGGAACTAATAAATGAAATTATCAAGGTCAAAAAATACAAGGCCAACATCAATTATATTTCTATATACTAAACAATGAACACTTTGGACCCCCCCCAATTTTTAAATAATGCCATTTATAATAGCTCCATAGAAACAAATTACTTAGGTATAAATCTGATAAAACATTTACAGGATCTGTATGCTAAAAACTACAAAATGCTGATGAAGTAAGTCAAAGAAGACATAAGTGAATAGAAGGATATACTGAGTTCACAAACTGGAAAACTCAAAATAGTAAAAATGTCAATTCTCTCCCAAACTGGTCTACAGATTTAACACAATTCCAATCAAAATCCCAGATTTTTTGCTGTTATAGCAAGCTTATTTTCAAACTAATATGGAAAGGCAAAAAATCTAAAATAGCCAAAACTATTAAAAACAAATATAAAAAAAGAAAATTGGAGGAACCATATAATCCAATGGAACAGAACAGTGTCCACAAATAGCTCCATACAAACATGACCAACTGATTTTTAACAAAGGTTCAAGGAAAATACAATGAGAAAAGGAGAGCCTTTTTGACAAATTGTGTTGGAACAATTGAGCATCCAAATATAAAGGAAAAAATGAATTTTTACCTAAACCTCTCATTTCATATAAAAATTAGCTCAAGTGAATATGTAAAATATAAAACTATAAAACTTTTTACCCCCCCCCAAGGACAAAATTTTTGTGACCTAGGGCTAGGTAAAGAGTTCTTAGATATGACATCAAAATACAACCCAATAAGTAAAAAGGGACAAATTGGACTTTATCTAAATTAAAAACTTCTGCTCTAGAAAGTTATCTAACATAATATAAAGACAAGCTACAGAGAGGGAGATAATTTTTGTAAATTACATATTCAACAAAGAATTTGTATCCAGAATATATAAAGAACTCTCAAAACTCAACAGGAAGAAAAAATCCAATTTAAAT